ACTGGCAAAGTTTTCTAAACAGCATAAATTTCTTTGCCTTTTGAACTAAATCAGACACACACTTCTGAGAATCATCTCGCTAAGACTCTCTCGTTCCCCGCTTTGTCATTTTTAGTTGAGTCTTTAAAAAGGGAGCCTAAATTTAGCTTCGAAGAAGTAATCCACAGGTTTCTTTTGGTTTTGGACATTACATTTTTCAGGTAGCAATGTGTGAGCAAACCTTGCAGCTTTCACAGGTGAGGAGCCCATAATGGTACCCAGACACTTTATCTCCACATACGGGACAAAGCTCTTCCAGATCTTCATCATAGGAGTAATTCACCATTTTAAATTGAGACACTGAAACAAAAGAAAAATGTATACACATATTCAATTAATTTACATGTAGGTGTTAATGCAGCAACAACAAGCATTTTGGTGATTGCTGGGCAAATATCACATGGTAAATTATAAAATAAAAATATTTTTTAGCAAGGCCTTACTGAACTATTTTTACAACTAAAACATCTTTTGTCAATGAGTATGCACCTTATGAAATTCCGTGTGCCACAAACAATTCCAACTTCTTTAGTTAACATTTTTAACTGACCACTTTTGAACACAAGTCTCATAACTCCACAAAGCAACAAACAGAGAAATGAACTGCATAAAGTAACAGCTTAGAATTTCTTTTAAATACCTATGAAGTTAAGTTCCAAAATGTCACCTTCGCCTAAGTTAGAGAAACAAGCGTAGGCTTTATTCCCTCCCTCTTGAAGTGGTTTGCTCCGAGCGCACCTTGCTTAGAGGGACAGCAGCACCAATTTGCAAACTCTGTCCGACAGAGAAACTGAAGCCCCAGAAACTCGCTTCTCAACAGCACCCCACTTGAACTAAACAGCCTGAGGCTCCCAACGTTCAGCCCTGTTAGAATAATCGAAACATTCAGTTCCGTATTGACAGTACTTTTCTATTCTGGATACTTTCAGCTCCTCACGATTGAAAATCTGTGAAAATAAAAAGAAGGAAAAAGAAAATAGAGGACGCCGGTACGGGGGAGAAAAATACCAGAAGAGTAAAAGGCACACAGGAGGGTTTTGGTTTCAAAGTATCGGAGCCCTGTAATGAACCTCACATGTTTCCGATCATCATAGCAAACTATAAACACCTCGAGATCGCCTGTTAAAGTTAAACAGAAATCAGGCCGCGACGACGCGCAGCGCGGCTCACTGCCGGGATCGGGTAACCGCCTTGCTCCGAACGCAGCCCGGCGAAGGCGTCTTCTCAGCTAAAAAGATGACCAACTATGCACAGGAAGGGCAGTGACCAGGAGACCCCAGGAAGTACCTGATCCGGTATTTCCTGGAGACTCCACATCCACACGGGTCAAGTACGGGAGCGCCGGGCACGGGTGGGCGGGCACCCGCAGGTCTACGCAGCGGGGACCCTGCCCGCACTCCCCCGGACACTCTTCCGCCAAACCCGTGGGCGCACCCGGCTCTCGCCCAGGCTCTATCTCCAGCTACCCAAGTGCGCACAAACACTGAGCAGAGTTTGTTTTTAGTTAATCAGTGGCGTTTGCAGGGGTGGGGCGGGCAGGGGATGGGAAACCCACGGCCTGGCAGAAGTTTCCTCTGATTTGTTTACCAAAAAGGAAAGAGAAATAGCCCCCACCCCAACGCCAAAGTCCTCGGCCACTGTATAGCCGCAGTGATGACTTGTTCTTTTGAAAATGAAGTTCTTTTCTTTCTCTTTGGTTCCCGAGGGCTTCAGTTGGAAAGGGCCGTCGAGGGGGGTCACTTGCAGCACTTTGCGGCTGAGGACTGCGCGCAGACCTGCGGAGTTACGCGTCTCTTCCCAGACACACAGCCCTAGGCTGGCGCTTACAGGGGAGTGAGTTAGTCAGTTTGGGAAAATTCTGGGAAAAGAGGCTCCAGAGAAGGCAGGAGCCTGCCTTCGTGAAATACTAATAAAGGGATGCTAGGTGCAGTCTTCCCAGTGGTGCCAGCCTGAATCCCAGCCCCAAGAGACCCCCACTAGGGTTTTAGGAACCTGGGGTTTGGGAAGGGCCGAGGGTTCAGAAATTCCTTTATAGCCTCTAGAAGTTCATAGCTCTCCTAACACTCGCGATGACAATCTTGAGGCATGTTTTAGCAACAAGGCTACAAGCGCACTTTCCCAAGTGTGTTCTTTTCTACCTCCCTTTCCGCCAACAAAGTAGACTCTAACTTTACACCAAAGGGGTACAGATAAGTAACTGCTTTCAGGCGGACTCCGTGCCTACCTCGGGGACCCGACATCGAAAAAAGACCGAAGCATGCGGTAGGGACCTTGTTGGAAAACCCAAAGACAGACTGAGTAGGGAGACGCTGCTGTGCGAGGCCTGGGCACCTTTCAGAGTTTCCCAGGTGGCCTGGTGCTGCCGAAACAGGCGTTTGGCTGGGCGAACCCATCGGGGCAAAGAAGGCCCCAGACTCTTCCTCAGTTATGGTCTAGAGAAAGAAGAGCGGCTGGCGGTGCCTTGGAAAGCCTTGGAAAGCTAGGGCCTCAGAGAGGTGCACAAAGTTCCCTCAAAGTTGGGCGCGCTGCGCTGTGCCGGGCCCCAGCAGTGGATCTTCTTTCTGGGCGTCCCAGGTGGGAACCAGAGCAAGCAGGACAATGGGATCCCCATTCCCAGGGGCTCCTCCGGACAGACAGGCCTCTAGTCCCCGACAAATCCTTGCCCCGGCGCTTTCCCTGCAAATTTTGAACCACGGGCTGAAGGAGTGGCGACTTTGAGCCCAGGCACCAAAGAAAACCTAATTCTCTGGTTTGGGGGCAGTAGGTAGTGTGTCCAGAAGACACCTCTCGAACTTTCTAAAGGAAACATTACTAATAACATTTTCTCTCTCCGCTCTCAAAATAAGCCTTTGGCTTCTTGCGCCAGAACGAGAAGCAGAAACTTTCCTTTTGGACCTCACCCAGCGACCCCAAGGGAAGGCCCTCTTCGGAGCTGGCAGCTGAAGCCCCCGAACCCAGCCTCCCCGCGCCACTTCCCCAATGCCCCACACTAAGCTGGAATTCCAGGTACCCGGAAGAAACGCTTCTTTGGACCAGCCGGGTTCCCCTAGCAGCCATAGTCTCTGGGGCCTCAGCTCCAGGGGACTCTCACAGCCCTACCTAGAGGCTTGGAGAGACCCCAGGATGACCGAGGGGGGAATGGATTACACCCGCATGACGTTCGCCCTCCAGCCAAGTATCTTCCCCTCCGCGGTAGGGCGACGACAGGTCCCCGGGCCTGGGCGCCCGGGCGCGCCTCCCACTCAGCACCGCAGAGTGCAACAGCCCTGAACTCTGCTCTCAACACCTCCCGGCCCTTTCAAGTTCGCGCAAGGGGATGGCAGGAAGCGTTCCGGGATCACAGGCCCGCCGGCCCGCACATCCTGCACCCTGGAAGGGGCGAGGATGGAAGAGCACCGGTGACTTTTCCTAGCATTGTTCCCTCCCCGGCCCAGAGCAAATGAGATAAACTTCTGAGGGGCTTAATACAAGCCAGATCTAGAGTTACTATTTTGGAATGCGGAGAAAATATAGCCAGCGGGAGTTGTTTTTTTCTTGGCAATCTAGAGCTGGGAAAACGAATGGGACTTCCATATTTTCAGATCTCAGGTTTAAAAGGGGCTCAATAAACGAACTGCTTCCCCCTCCCACATCCAACTCAATCGGCACAACGCGCACAGGGGATGAGTTTGGGGTAACTGGTTCCCTTCAGCAGTTTTGAGCTGACCAAATCCGAGCCGGCTGCGGGTGTCCGCCTGGGCTTTTGGGGGTGGCCACATGCATTCTAATATCGCTAAGACAAGCCTTTCGGGGATCACCTCTTTCTGTAGTTGACTTTCCCATACTGGGTCGTCTCCCTCCACATAAGAGCACTGGTTAAAGTACAGCACACAACAGTTCCAATAACGGAGAACCTGCTCGGGTTTCCAGTGAGACATTCCATTTCTTAGAATGATCTTGTTATTCTAAAGTACCTTTAGCCTGAAGCTGCCCTGCTTGGGTTGCCATAGAGCTGGAAGCCTCTCTTTCCTTAATTAGAAGAGGCCAATTAGACGTCGCTGGGAAAACCTCTGCCCCGCATTGTTCAAGAGCCATAAACTTTTATGCCTGCACCTGAGGAGGGGGCTTGACTCCCGCTGCTGCAAGCGCCCAGCCAGGCTACTCGCGCACCCGCGCGGTGCTGGAGGCTGAAGCCTGCAGGGCGAGCCCGGGGGTGGGGAAGCCGCGGGAGCCCGAGCGCTGTGCGGCGCCTTCTTACCTTGCATGTTTTCCGGCATCTGGCCGTGTTCCCCATGCGATCGAGCCAGTCCTAGGGCTTCCGTCTCCACTTTGGGCAGCATGACAAGGCGGCCGCGGGCGGGGATGGGGGGTCTGTGTCGGTCGGGAAGCCCAGCACCTGGACACGGGCAGCACAGATTCAACTCCGGAGGAAAGAAGGAAGGGGCGACCGGGGTGCCCGCTCACCCACCCGCTCGCCTCGCCCGAGTGTGCCTCCGCCTCCTTGGGGCTGCCGGGCAGGACCTCTGAGCCCTGTCGGGTCTCGCGGCTCCGGAGCCGCCCCCGAGCTGCGAGGAGGAGGTCGGGGTTAAGAAAGGAGGCGAGGAAGACAGCGTCCCGGCACCCTGGTTCGGCTCCCCCAGAGCGCAGGCGGCGGCGGTGGCGGGGACGCAGCTGCCCGGGGCGCGGAGCCGTGAACCGCCGAGCTCCGGGCGGGCAGCGGAGGCGACCGCTGGGCTGCTACTGCAGCCGCGGCTGTGCCGTTGCCACCGCTCCGGGACGACTCCTGCGACTCCTTCCTTTCCCTCCACCGCCCGCTGCTCAGGATCGGCAGGGGTCTCTCTGCTCTTTCTCTCGCCTCCCTTTTCTCTCCGCACCTCTCCTCTCTTCGCCTCTCCGCCCCTTCCCCCCGTCTCTCTGTGCCTCCCTCTCGTTCACTATCACAAGTGTGGAGTTGTGAAGTTCCAACCTCCCTCTCCTGCCTCGTGCACTCCCCGCGCGGGTCCGAGAGCGGCCCTTCCCAGCCCCGAGGGTGACGGTGCTGGGAAGGACAGGGGGAAGACGAGGAGGAGAAGGAGGTAAGTAGGGCCGGGGGTGGGGGGAAGGCTGGGATGAGGGGTGAAGGCAGTGAATGGGAACGCGGGTTCCGGACTCAGGTCGGACACTAATCGCCAGCCAATAAGGATGAGGCGCTGGCTGCAGTCCCCCGGCCTGCCCCAACCTCTGCACCCGCCTCGCCCCCTCCCACCCCACCCTGGCCCGGGGCGGGGGATGTAAATGCAGCCGGGTCTTACAGCTAGTCAGAAGCGACCTCTGTCTGAGCGCGGCGGCGAAGAAGCAGCCAGAGCGGCAGTTTCCTCGAGCTGAGGGAAAGCAAGAGGGGATGGGGGCGCGTGTGGGCGTGTGCCCTCGCTAGTGTGTCTGATGAGGAGATGAAGGGGAGGTAAACACCCATTTAAACCATCGAAAGAAGAAAAGGGATCTTGAATTCAGCTGGCCGTTCTGAAACGCAGAGTTGGTCCGCGGTCAAGGGTCTTCCAGCTTTAATGCCCCAGGTCACTGAGAGCCTGGAGAGGAGACACGAGGGCCCCGGCGGCCTGAAGGGGCCGAGGGTCCCAGCTTACTGAGAGGCGGGCCACACCTCCAAGAGCTCACTCATTAGAATTAGCGGAAGGGACAGCCACTCCTATTTCCCCAGCCTGCTCCCCATTCCCTTAGCTCATTTTTAAAAGACCCTCAACTGGAGCCCAGGATCATCTAAGCGACAGACTTTCCAGGTTTAGTGAACTGTGTTTCCACGCAGAATACAAGAATCAGTCTAGGCTTTGCTTTTTCATTCTGTTGTCTGATGGGACCATCCACTTGAGGCTGAGGCCCAGCATTTAAAAAGTGTTTTAAAGAACCATCTGTTCAGCAAGCTCTTCGACCACCAGCCCAGCCGCATCTTCAAAGTTTTCAGATCTCCTCCCAACTAGATGAAAAACATTCTTTCCAGCCTCCTGACTGCATGTGAAATGCCTCATATTCAGGGTCTGCTGTGTAACGAAGTAATTATCAGAGTCCACCCACAAGGGGGTGAATTTGAATCTCAAAAGATCTGAGTTTATTCTACTTGAATAGTATAGAGATTACACATTGAAACTGCCCAGTCTAGTATTTGGTGAATTGGAAATTATTCCAATCACTGCAGTGCATAATTTCTATAGGGTGGGTTGTTCACCACCCACCCACACCTGGCGATTCAGGTACTACTGACTCTTAACTGATTTGTCATTTTGCTCTTCAATGTATATTTAGAATCAAAGTTATTTAGATTTCAGCTTTAGTAGCAACTTCAGGTTTTTTTGTGGAAACATTTACATTTTTGAAGGCCTGTCCATTAGTTTGTATGAAGAAGTAGGCTGAAGTTGCCGAAAGCTCCAATTTTCATGACAGTATCTAGTAACACGGTCACCAAATTTCAGTATTCATGGTGGTTTTAAGTATCACTGAGAACTAAGAAAATAAAGAAAGGGAGTCGACTTCAGAGCTTATGGCAGTGCTTGCCTTGCTTTGCTCATGAACATTGAAAATCAGTTTATTTCAAAGCCTTAACTTAGGAACAACCTCCTTCCACTGCAATTCAAAGAGTTTACGGGGGCATGTATGATACAACACCTTGCCCAAATCCCAGCCTAGCAAGGATGCAGGACTCCAGACCCTCCTTGGTCATAAGAGGAAGCCTCCAATCCCCAGTGTGTAGTGGTGATTTCACTACTTGGTGAAGGTGGGGGAAGTTAGGAGAGTTGAAAGAAGTTGAAAGAGGGTCTGATAGGTCCTTGAAATTGTGGTATGCCAAGAAACCCTGCCTTGACTTGAGGCTGAGACTGAGGCTGAGGCTGACCCAGTGAGGCAAACTTTGTGAGCATGCTCACAACGCCAGCTGCAGGGCCAGAAGGGACTTGCATAGGCCACGCTAGCGACTTCTAGGTCCGTGCGGGTCTGCCCTCCCACCCCATCCCCAAGAGATGGAGAACGGTAGTGGCAAAAGGCCAGCTGGCACTCATTTACCTCTCCACAGGGAGACTTTTCCGGAAAGAAGAACTCACAAAATGGGAGGGATGCGCGAGGGAATAGTGGCTGGGGACCGGGGTATTAAAAATTCATGCTTTAAAAAAAATGACGGAGGAGCTTGTGTCACGGAAGGAAGCCCTTTACCCTGCTTTGAAAGTCTAGTCCAGGTGGACACCTTAGCTTAGCAGCGAACTGAAGGGGGACTGGAAGGGCAGAAAGTCTCAAGCGAGAGTAAACGGCCTTTTCTAAGCACCAAGGGAACTCCTAGCCCAGAAGCCTAGCCCTCGGCGCTCCAGGCCTCCACCTGGACGACGGGAAACCCTCCCTGGAGGCAGCCTTATTTCAGATCCCCTGGAGGGGTGTCAAAATCCCCGCCAGAGGTGGACGAAGCAAGGAATCTTTCACTGGAATTGATTCTTGCCAGAGACCCGAGGGCACACAAACCTTCCTCGGGTCGCTCCGCAAGAGAAGGAAACGGTGGAGTCTCCCTCCCGGAGGCAGACGCAGAGGAAGGGGCGGCGGTACCAGGCTCCCAGCGTCAAGCTCATTACTGCCCTCCAAGTGCACCCTTTCTCCGCCTTCAGAACTCCCTCCTTTTTCTGAGCACTCTCTGGTCCTTTGACCCTTCAGTTCTGCTGGGCAGGGACCCCTATTGAAGGCGGGGAGCACCTAGCTCAGTGACCTTGGATCGGCTTGGGCGCCCCCCAGAAAGCTCTCTCCGAAAGGAAGCTGTGGGAGGAGGAGTTCTCGGTGTCTAACATGGGTTACTTGGGAATGGTTCTGGGTTCCCGGGGCCGCAGTATGAAGAGAGCCAAGTGGCTGCGGGAAGGGAAAGCAGTTGAGATGCAAGTAGGAGGAACCGGCTCTGTGTGGTCTAAACGCCAGAGCCAGCGGTGCCTGGACTGACCCATAAACACACCTACCGCGGACGGACAGACGCATCTCATCCTCTGCCGGGGACATCTTAGCAACTGCCACGCTACCTCCTAGTGGATGCACACTTAGAAACCCACCCGGTACTTACCGCTGCGGGAACTGTAACTGGTAGCGGAGACCAGAGACTAGAACCAGGGAGGCCTGGGAGTCGGTGGTGGTGGCGAGGGGACAGCTCTGTTCAACTACCTTGCGCCTTCTCAATTTCTCTGCACTCCCTCTGCCAACTTCTGGCAAACTTCTCTCCTTTCCCCCCACCTCACCTCCACCTTTTTCTTTCCAACGAGACCGGTCTCCAGAGCTCGCCCTTCCCGGTTCTGACTTTGTCTTAAAGTGTTGATTGACGGTTGCAATTACGAAGGATGATGGCTCGGGGAGGCTCCCGCAGCCTTGATGAGCCCGAGAAGCGCAGTCCTAGCATATTTTATCCACGCTTGGCGTTTCGGGGCTGTGCGCGCCCCATTCACCCAGCTGGCTGGAGCGGAGAAGGTCTCGCACCCCCCACTCGCTAGGATGCAAACTGCCTGCCTTCCTCCGCCTCCACCTTCCCGGGGTTCAGCGCCGCAGTTCCAAGCGCGCGCTGAGAGAAGTCAGCCCTCCACCTGACTTGAGAAGGGTCGGTCGATCCCCGCGAGCTGGACCCGTGCGGGCAGCAGAGGGACAAAATATCAGGATTTTCAGCAGCGGTTCAAGTTTCCTGGGCTCTCAAAAGGTGTGGCAGACATACCTTGCCCGCGCGCCTGGGTAATGACCCACCCAAACTCTCACGAAACTTGCAAAACCTTCCTCCTTGGCAACAATTTCTCCCGTCTTCTCTTCCATTCCCACCTTTTGGTGCTTTTAAGAAACCAGGACAATCACTTTTTTCGTCCAACATCTCTACTTTTTAGACCCCGGAAGAAGTCTAGATTTTTTTCAGGTCTCCATTACTAGGCCGGGATAGCCCAAGGGGGAGGAGAAGCAAGTTTATCAGCCTACGGAAGCTCCGGGTCTGCCTAATTTTTCCACCCCTCCCAGCTGAAAAGCCCATCAGAAGCCGCTTTTGCCTTTCTCTGAAAAGTTTAGCCAGAATTCCACTTTCATTCCTGGGCTCTGGGGGCTGGGCTTCCCGCCCACACCCGCCCTCATCCGGAACGCTTTGTATTAAAAAGAGACCGGTTAAATTTCAGTACAGCCATATGAATTACCAGGGAGCGTCATGTTGACCGAAGCTTTAAAAAAAGCAAACTTGAATAGGTGAGAAGTCTTGCCTAGCTATAAAGAAAAAAAAAAGGCTTTCTGCTGCACGTGTAAATGTCTACTTAAGACATCAACTTGAGCCCCTAGAGCGGGAGGATGGCCATTGATTCACAGTCACTATGAGAGTATCTTGACCTGGCGTGGCGCGCTTTTTAACGCGGAGGAAAACGAAAGCCGAAGCAATTATCTGAGCAATCCAACCTACCCCATTCGCCACCCAGGCAACCTCCCAACCTTGCCCCAAAGGAAACGAGGGGTTTTTGGAGAGTTTGGCCTGGATTTTGGAATCTACTGCTCTTTATATAAAGAGTGCACTGGCCGGGCGCGGTGGCTCACGCCTGTAATCCCAGCACTTTGGGAGGCCGAGGCGGGTGGATCACGAGGTCAAGAGATCGAGACCATCCTGGTCAACATGGTGAAACCCCATCTCTATTAAAAATACAAAAAATTAGCTGGGCATGGTGGCGCGTGCCTGTAATCCCAGCTACTCAGGAGGCTGAGGCAGGAGAATTGCCTGAACCCAGGAGGCGGAGGTTGCGGTGAGCCGAGATCGCGCCATTGCACTCCAGCCTGGGTAACAAGAGCGAAACTCCGACTCAAAAAAAAAAAAAAAAATACTAGTTCACTGACGAATCTATTAACTTCATTGTCTTTGGAGCATGTTGTCCCAACCCAGGTGTCCTGGCGCGCCCCGCCAGTGTATAGGCGGTGTCTTACAAGAGTGTAATAGGGATGCCCGGTGTTGAGAAAGGAACGGAGCAGGGGAAATAATCTCGGGTAGGTGGTCCAGTCTAATCTATCTCTTCCTCTCCGTAATTGAAATGGAAATTTGAGCCAGCTCCAGCTCAAAACTATGAAACTCCATCCAAGGAACCAACCGTGTCCAGCTTCGGGGCCAACAGAACGACGATCCCGGCGCTTCCAGGCCACAAAGCACCTTGTGAAACTCGTTGAACACTGGCAGTTGCATCCTTCACGCCCTCTCCCCCAGCCTCAACCTAGGTCAGGAACCAAATCCTTAGTATGAGATTATTCTAGGCTGCCATTCAACTGTATCCGGCGATACTGCAAAACTTCTCCATGGAAGGGGTAACGTCCTGCATTGCTTCAGAATTCCTTGGCTTTTCAGCCAGGGAATGGACCCGACCAAACTTCTTTCTTCAGAAAAGCCCCTGAGCCAGCAGTTTCTGATTCTTAAGGTCAAAGAGTGCCGGGCCCGCAGAGGTGCGGGGGTCCAGCAATTTGGGTTGCACCTGGTCGGTACAGAAAATGGGAGTTTGGAAAGGCAAGACTTAACAGTGATACCGTCACCCTTAAGCATGGGGCTTGGAGCTAGGGAAAGTGTTATGGCCTGGGCAGTTACAGAGATTGCACAATTAGAAGGGCGTGGGTTTTTCCAACACGGAGATAACTTTTGCGATGGTGTCCAGTGTATACCAAGGCTTGAGACAGATTCACTTGTTTTCCCCAGACCAGGACCAAGCGGTGGATTCCGACCAATTTTCTTTCCATTCCTGTAGAGGCTGCTGAAGCAGGTGGAGCTTGCAGGGGGCTGGGAAGCAGAGGCTGCAGGCATCCAAACCCTGAGCAAGGAATCCAGCACTTGTGAAAAGTGCCAGCAGTGGTGTGGGACTAGCATACCTCACTGTGGGAGGCACAGCTGGGTTTGTCAAAAGTGCTTTACGATTATTATTATTATTTAAAAGAACCTAAATTGTCTTTCCATATCCCTTCCTCTTATGGGACAATAGTGTTTGCTTATGCTACCTAATTCAGTCACTCAGCTTGAGTGGATTTCCCTGCCTTCCTCACACCCACTGCCTCTAGAACAAGTACCTGCTCTGAATTTCCTCTCAGTTCGTTCTCACCACCTGTTGGTGGCCCTGCAAGTTGTTACCATACACCACAAATTCACAAGCTAAACTTCATGCAAACTCCAGAGATCCTTTCCAGGAAACTCTAGAGCAGGGGACCAGAAGTGCCTTCGCCCCACCCCACCCAGACCTCAGTACTCTCAGAGGCAGTTTATACACTACCCTATCCCACCTTCCTGAATTCTACAAGGATCCAAATCTGATTTCTACTGTGGAATGGAAAGGAAGATAAAAAGCCACTTACAAATGTCTTTCTTAAGCTCAAAATGTCTTTTGGTGGAAAGTCTGCGTAGACCAACATTGTATTAAATCAAAATTCCTTTCCATCAACAAAAACAAGTGGTTACTACCTAAGAGAAAGAGTATGTATTTCAGAATATTTCTGGGGTTCTATTAACAGTTCATTCTCTTGACAAGTTGAATGATCTGGAGTAAATCACTTGACCTCCAATTCCATGTTTTAAATCAGTAAAATTGGGTTAACAAAGTAAATTTTATAGTTAAATGAGACAGTGGCAGGAAAGAAATATACTATGCTGGTAGCATATATCAGTTTCCCTTTATCTTTCTTTCCCCTTAGCTTCACTCAAACTCATCATTCTGTAAAAAAAAAGAAAAAAAAAAACCTAAAAATGGAATCACTAACCATCCTAGGACCACTTCCAGTGGGATGTGCTTGCTAACTCGATTGTCCTGCAGTGCTTCACGCAGTCCTCAGGGACAATTACATTATCACCAGATAAGACTGCTCATATAAGTGCTCATGGTCATCTGTATTCAGGTTATCTGGTGTTTAAATAACAGTTAAGCTCCAAATATCTTTTCTTACTTATCAACTACACAGAAACATACATAACAGCTTCCCAAAAGACTAAAAGAGAGGCAACCTTCATCAACTTGCGTGGTCAGTTTCAGTTCATATGGTTTTCTCAAGCTTGATCTCTTAAGATGACATTGATCATGTTTCAGCTCTTCCCCAGGGCCTCCCCAGAGCACAATGCCCCCCAAACTCCAAAAGTTCCTTGAAGCCAATTGGATTTCTCTAAGAATCAGTTCCAGTAAGGTGAAGCATGAGGAAGTGCAACTCGAAGAACTAGGTCTATCCTAAGGTAGGCTCTAGACCTGTAGCGTGAAGGTATCTTGCCTGCCTAGAGCATCCCTGGGGGTGGGAATTGGGTTGAGCCTCTAGGTGAAAGTCTGACACTGTGCCCTTCTTTAGCTCAGCTCATGTTCAAGGCTGAATCCAAGATAATCCTAGACATTGTTTCTGGTGGAGGGGTCAAGCAAAGGAGAGAAGCATTAGCAAGCCTCTGTTCTCCCTTCCTCTATAAATCTCTCTTGGTTTATTAGAAGGCATGTTAAAGAAATCCTTTCTCTTTTTTTTCGATATAGGGTCTCACTTTGTCACCCAGTCTAGAGTGTAATAGCATCATCACAGTTCACTGCAGCCTCCATCTCCCTGGCTCGAGTAGCCTTCCCATCTCAACCCCCAAGCCATAGTCACTGGGACTACAGGCACATGCCACCACACCCAGCTAATTTTTTTTTTTTTTTTTTTTGACAGTCTGGCTCTGTCGCCTAGGCTGGAGTACAGTGGCATGATCTTGGCTCACTGCAACCTCTGCCTCCCGGGTTCAAGCAAGTTTCCTGCCTCAGCCTCCTGAGTAGCTGGGATTACAGGTGCGTGTCACCACTCCTAGCTAACTTTTGTGTTTTTATTAGAGGCGAGGTTTCACCATGTTGGTCAGGCTGGTCTTGAACTCCTGACCTTTTGATCCACCCATCTCTGCCTCCCAAAGTGCTGAGATTACAGGCGTAAGCCACCATGCCTGGCCTTTTTTGTTGTTGTTGTTGTTGTTTTTTTTTTTTTTTTTTTTTTTGGTATAGACTGGGTCTCACTATGTTGTCTAGGCTGGTCTTGATCTCCTGGGCTCAAGTGATCCTCCATCCTCAGCCTCCCAAAGTGTTAAGATTATGGGTGTGAGCCACTGTGCCTGGCCTAAGCGATCTTTTAATTCTGTGCATCCAGGCCAGAAAAGAAGAATCTGAGAAGCACTGTTTTGGAGATGGGCTGGGGCATGGAAAGAAAGGAGGCTCCAGAGTTTAGCTTTCTAGAAGAAACTGGCAGCCTAAGCCCCAGCTGTGAGAATCAGAACATGGGCTTGGTGGCTGGCATTCTAAATAAAGCTGGCTAGAGGTTAGGGTGACATAACGGCTATCACATTTTCCACTGAATGACGTCTACTTTCAGAGAGCATTATGAGCACAGAGCTTGCTGGAGGTTATCACTGAAGTAAAAACAGACTCTAAGAGTGTTCAGGGGACCAGATAGCAAGCCTCACATTACAGACTCAATACAGTGTCTGCACTGTGTATCATGTACCCTAAGTATGCAGGCATAACCTTCTGTGGATAACATGCAATATTATACTGAGTGCATAAAATATTCTGCAAGTGTGCTTAATTTGAAGAATTATGGAAATGTGATATGAATCAAAGCATAATGTTGGGCATATTGTGGGGAGGGTCAATAAATAC